ATATGATCTGTTACAGAAAGTTAAACATTTCTTTCTCTTGTGTGTCCTGTGTTTACATTTTGTGGCACATGTCTCCAGGTGGAGGCGTTGCAGGCTCAAATGGAAGAGCAGACTCGCCTGGCCAAAGAGCAGGTGGACGCTCTGCTGGAGGATCGAAAGATTAAAACAGAGGAGGCCGAGGCACAGCGGCAGAGAGATCAGGACCGCATTGCTGCTCTGACTGACAAGTTAGTCTTATAGTTTATGTAGTTTATGATGTCTGTATTATAGCTGACTTATAGCTGTTTGTAAAACAAACCTCTAGACTTTTGTCTTCAGATATCGCTGTGGCTGACATTAAATTTCCAGATTTACTTTTATTTATCTCCTTTGACATGTCAGACTCCAGCGAACTCAGAACCTGTTGCATGAGAGCACCAGAGATTTTTTACAGCTAAAGTTTGACACACGAGCTAATGAGAAGAGCTGGATGGTGGAGAAGGATCGCCTGCTGAGGGAACTGGACTCCTGCCACAGCCGTCTTAGGAAGGCCAGGGGTGTCAGCACTGAGTTGGGGCGAACGTGGCAGCCCAGCAGCAGCACAGCCCTCCCTCAGGCTCAGTCAGAGTCAGATCAGCCACACAAAGAGGAGCTAAAGGTAACATTAACTATCTGTTTGTGTTCATGAAAGTCTGAAAGAAGTATTTCCTGATTCCATTTCGTGAGGTTGTATAAATGCCTTTTATTAATGTCTTCAGAATAAATCACAGTTTTGTGGCGAGTTCATTGTAGTCTCTGTTTTTTTTCTTTATTCTTTTTTCAAACAGATATTGCAGGAGGAGCTGAAGCAAGCCAACCGTCTGGCAGACATGTACAGGGAGCAGTGCATTACTTTTGAAACAGAACTGTCCCAAATCAGAGAGGAAGGGGATGTGGGCAGGGAAATATTCAAGGTACACCAGTTTGATTGATGGTTCAGTCTGTACAAGCCTCATACACATCTCTGATTAAATGGTATCTGATGTTGATGGCGATCACCAAGTTTCTTTTTACTGATACCTTGCTTCTGTGTGCAGGAGCGTTCAGAGAAAATGGCCAAGCGCCTCCAGCTGATGACTCAGCGTTATGAGGCATTGGAGAAGAGGAGGGTGATGGAGGTGGAGGGCTTCAAGGCAGACCTTAAACTCCTCAGACAGAAACTCAAAGATGTAGAAAAACAGCTTCTGAAGGTAAAAAGATCCAAACCAATTGATTTTTATCAGATAGTTATTTGTGATCTCAGCATGCCTGTGCTTGTTTTTACATATTATAAGCACTGTGAATGACTTTAATTTTAATGCAAAACAAAGTTAAACAAAACTTTCACTCGTCTTCCTTCAATTTTTCCACCTTGCTCATGTCCAAAATCACATTTTAGTAAGTATTGACTGGGAGATTCTCTTTTCATCAGGTTACCTTGAATGTGGGGCCCAACCAGGACTTAGCCATCCTTCATGAAGTACGACAAACCAATGCCAGGACCAAAAAGGTTCAGGGCGAGCTGATGGCTCTGAAGGCAAAAATCTTTGGACTTGAAAATGAGCTAAGATACAGCTGAGGATAATGCGCTGATATTTTCTGTAATGTGTAGCTGTGTTTATCTCTGTCATGGCTGCTTATTCTGCTGTGTTTATTTTTAAAAACTAGACTAAATGTTGTTGATATTTTGTGCTTTGGACGAATAAAAATCGTTGAGTTATTTTAAATCAATGTACAATCAGTTCTTTATATTTAATTTAAAAAGATGCCGCTTTGAATTTTTTTTACTGTGACAACCAAATTGTTGTCATTTTTATTTTTGGAATTGGGCAGTTTTTTAAATTTTCATATACAGATGCATGTTGGATGTCATCTTGGGATCATGGAACAGACGTTCATGTTCCACATCAAAGGTGTAACCTTTATTGAAACAAGTACATGCTATTCAAAGTTTACTGAATATGAATTTATTTGTACTTTTAAAAGCATGTACTTTTTTTAAAATATGACATATATAAGAATGTATGCTTACTAATGTGTTACATAGAAGCGTTTCAATAAGGAGAGATTATTAGAAAGGATGAAAATGATTTATTGATGAACAGAATATACACGGTTAGACTCCGATGGCCTGTCCCAGCCGAATGGACCCTGGCTGTAAAAGGGATTAGAGCAGGACCCCCGGAGCTGAGATGAAGGTGGCTTGAATGGAGTTTGAGTGATGAGAGGTGGAGGTGGGTGGCACAAAGGCATCTGCAAAGGAGAATGACAGTAAACTAACTGAAGTAGGTAAAAATGTAAACAAACCTTGCTACTGGTTATAATACCCAGATAAAATTAAGTAAAGTTTTTGTAAAACTAAGTGCAAATTATCAAGAAAAAATATGTACAAAAAAAAAAAAAAAATTATTTGTACATTCGTTTTGTTTTATACAACTATACATGAAATGTGTCAGAAATTAGGAAAATTAGAGGGGAGAAATGCAAACATGCAAATCATAAAATGTAATCTTTTGGGGTCTTTTTTTTAAAGATAATATAGTTTTGTATCTTTGCCATGAAATTTACAGTTATATATACATGATGTTGAAACAAATAAATAAATAATAATATTAGTATTATGTTCAGGTACAGAGTTTATTGAGTTTCAAAGTTAGTAAGTTACAAAGTGACTTTCATTTCTACAAAAATGATACCCGTGTGGGTTTCCGTTGTTGACGTAATATTGGACCTGGAAGTTCAACGGTTTGCTTCTTTGCGCATGCGTCCTCAGAGCTATGACAAATTGTACCGCTCCTCGGTATACAACCGTATATTACAGTATGAGGAGCGCAGAGTATGGTATTGACTTAGACTGATAAAAATATCATGACCCGGTTCTTCAGCGGTCACATTTGCTAAGTTAGCCGTAACCGTTGGCGCAGCTAAAGCTAGCTCGGTCGTGTCTGTTGTTGTTGTTGTTGTTTACACGTCGCCTTGTCCACTAAAGTGCCTGAAACAATGCAGAGAGTGAGATATTTAAAGAGTGGCTGGCAGCTGCTAAAATCAAGCTGCGAGGGAGCAGCAAAGCAAGCGAACACCCAGTCTTCGTCCTCAAGATGTTATAGCCATGTAAGTCAACGCTTTGTCCAAACTGTATTAACGAGAGTGGAGACGGGAGTGCTGATTGAAAGCACGGTGGCGCTCCATCCCATTTCAGTGCTACCTGTCAAAGAAATGTATCCTGACAGAAGAGTATTCAATCTCAAGTTATCCAATTTTTTTTTAACATTTTCTGCTCAGCCATCTTTGACTTAAATATAAATATTCTAATCTAAAGTTTGGAAATATCCGGTGATTTCTGTGAAGTTTTAGTCTCTTTTGTTAAAGCCCATTCACCCACTTTCAAGTCTTTTTCCACACTTTGAAATCTCTGACCATGTTTGAACACAACTTCACATTTGTCTCATGTGTCTGGGTATTGGCTAACTAAAAAAGTCAAGCAGTCCTGCAGAGTGCCATATTTGAAAACTGCTAATAAAAAATCACATTGGAAAGAGGACTCACAATTTCTGAATGACATAGTTGTATTTTACAAGAAGAAGCACTCAGAGTGCAAACCTCCACCAAGGCTACCTGCTATTAAGGGAAGTATTACATTTTGTATGTATGAATTTTGTTTTCTTTGTTTGTTTGTTTTAAAAAAATTATTTTAAGAAGTTTGTAGTGCAGTAAAAATTAGGTAAAGGTAGGATTACAGATGTTTACTTTGATCATACAAATATTATCTAGGAGTGGGTAATGGATAATAGGTACTGATTTGCAGCTCTTTTTTCTTGATAATACTTTCTTTAACGATATAATACATTTTGGAGTCAACTCCACAAAGAAAGCTTGAGGTCAGAGGTCAAATATAACATCATTTGGATGCAGACTATATTATTTTTAGTCCCCATATACCAATATCATTTCCTAAATGTTGCCAATGGCAGTAGGATTCTAAACATAATTTTGAAGGTAAAAGAATGAATGTTTGATGTTGTTTGACCTTGAAGGAGAGGTCAGAGGACAAATGTGCCACATTTTACATTTTTATAAAGTAATTTTTTATGTTTACAATGCACACCGAACTTGTAAGGGACTTATAAGGAATGTATGAATGTTTTTCATATTTTTATTTGTCAAACGCAGATCCTCATTAAATTTTATGGTAAGAAATGTGAAAGAACTTTGAGAAATTTATATGTGAATATTTCCTTAAATTTCAGTGTGTGAAAAAAAGTGAGTGGATGGGCTCTTTCTTAAACAATATCTAGGAAACTATTTAATATAATAAGCTAAAATCTCAGAACAATTATTATAAATATGTAGAAACTTAGCTCATAGAAGCTGCAGTGGGATCAAAGTCTCGCTCAGTTCAGTGTGCCTGCAGCGATGAGCTCTCAAAGACTGCTCAGAATGCAGTATCAGTTAATGAGTAACCTTATGTTGTCATACTACACATGTCCCCACTCTGTCGCCTGCTCACTCCTCAGGCAAGCAGCTCCTTCGGGCTCCTCTTTGACATTGACGGGGTGCTGGTGAGAGGCAAGACTCCGATCCCTGCAGCCAAGCAGTGCTTCAAAAACCTGGTGGACCGCAGCGGAAAATACAAGGTCCCTGTGGTGTTTGTCACTAATGCTGGGAACTGCATGAGGCAGACAAAAGCGGAACATCTGTCACATCTGCTTGAGGTGGAGGTAAATTGAGAGCCCTTTAAAACATTATCAGTTTGCTTTGTCTCGTGTATTTTGTTTTTAATATTCTTTGATATCAGCCATTTACTCTAGAATCCCTTTATCTCAGGTGTCTCCAGACCAGGTGATGCTATCCCATAGTCCTTTGCGAATGTTTACCCAGTTCCACAAAATGCGTGTGCTGGTCTCCGGACAGGGTCCAGTAGAGGAAGTCGCTCATAAGTATCCTGCAATAACTCGGGTAATCTGGTGCCTGCACTCTGGATGTTGACCTTTAAAGCTGAATGTTCTGTTTATTCACTTGTTTTTCTCCATGCTCCACTTTGTTATCAGTGTTTAATCGCTTCACCCTTTGTTCCCTTTACTGCTTGACAGTCTCTGTGAAGCCCTTTAACAGATTTTTTTGTTTTTTTGAGTTAGTGGGATTTTGTTTTTGTTTTTGTTTTTAATTCAAGTCAAACATTGTTATTTGAAATATAAAGAAATGCAATAAATTAAACATTGGAAAACATGTTACAAAAAAAACACCAAATACCCAAAACACTGTTAAGATTTTCTACACATTTCCAGCTTGTAATTCCTGCTCAACTGGTTTGACTTTAACTCGCCAAACTTCAGCCTGGGCTTTCAGGATGTTGTTACTATAGATGTGCTCAGAGAAGCGTACCCAGTCCTAGATGTTGTGGATCACAATAGAAGACCCAAAGATGTTGTAAGTAATACTGTTTAATCCATTTATGTTCAGTTCAGTTACACGTCTTGCCAACTTTGCACAATGTCCTTCAGGTGCCGCCCACTAAAGGTTTACGGCCAATAGATGGTATGTTTCTTTTGCGCAGTCATTACATAATCCCTGAGAATTAACGATTTTCTGGTAATGTGGCCTAATTGTATGTTTTGTTTTTATTTGGTCCTACAGCTGTTGTTTTATTTGGCGAGCCTATTAGATGGGAGACCAACCTCCAGCTTATTGTTGACGTGCTGCTAACTGGTGGGAACCCAGGCAGCACTTGGAGTTCAGCGCATTATCCTCACATCCCCGTCCTGGCATGCAACATGGACCTGCTGTGGATGGCAGAGGCCTGGAATCCCCGGTACACATCAACACCACAGTCTGAAATATTACAACCTTCAAAATTTACAGTATTTTTGTTATACAGCGCCATGGAAAAGCACTATTATCAAAACCTACCTGGCCCTGTGTGAAAAAGTGATCGATCTCTCATTAAATCATGAATTAATTTTGAGTAACCACATTTGAGAGCTGAGTTCAGCTTCACCACCCACAGTGGCCTGATCACTGAGAAACCCGTTGAATAAAGAAACCTCTTAAATAGAACTTAAGTGAATTAGGCAAAATTATTCAAGAAAGCAACACATCATGCCACACTCTGAAGAAACCACTAAGAAACAAAGTCATTGACATTATCAGTCTAGAAAGGGGTACAAAGGCAAATCATAGTGAAAGCTATGAGAGAAAACGTGGAACACAGGTGAACCTTCCCAAGAGTGCCCGGCGTACCAAAATGATCCCAGGAGTGCATCACCTACCCAGCAGGTCACACAAGAACCCAGAACAACATCTAAAGGACGTCCAACAGGACAATGATCCAAAACACACCAGCAAGTGCACCTCTGAATGGCTAAAAAACAAAACAAAATCATGGAGTGGTCTATTCAAAGTCCAGACTTAAGTCCAATTGAGATTCTTTGGCATCTGAACTTAAACGGGCAGTTCATCCTTGAAAACCCTCTGATGTGCCTGAATTAAAACAATTATTTAAAGAGGAGTGGTGCAAAGCTCCTCCACAAATACTTGCTTGCCAAGTGTGTCACAACCAGTTATTAGGTTTAGGTGTTTTTATATTGGACCAAGTTGGCTTTGATAGCTTTTCCCTTAATAAATGATATAATTTAAAAACTGCATTTTGTATTTACTCAGGTTATGTCCAATATTAAGATTAGTTCGATCTGTAACGTTAAAGTCACAAATATGACAAATGTGCAAAAAACTAAGAAAGGGAACAAAACAAAAACTTTCTCACAACACTGTATTTCCTGTTCCTTGCATCACAGGTTTGGTCATGGTATGTTCCTGGTGTGCTTAGAGTCTCTGTACAAGAAGGTCACAGGATACGAACTCAAGTACGAGGCTCTGATTGGGAAGCCCAGTGTGGTGACTTATAACTACGCTGAGCTGCTGATTAGACAACAGGCTGAAAGACTTGGCTGGAACACGCCTGTGAAGAGGGTGTATGCTATAGGGTGAGTTTTTCAGTCTACATTTAACA